TTATTTTTATTTTTATTTTTATTTATTTTTTTTTTAAAAAGCCCAAGGGCTAATATATTAAAGATAAAGATACAGATAGGTTTGTATGGGTGGGCCAAAACACTCAAACCACACGGTACAACACACAAAAAAATGTAAAAGTTGGTACATATAGAAATAAAAAGAAACTCAAAAACCACCCGAGCGTTGAAAAAGTGTGGGTCATCCCAATCTAGTCTTGCCTCTGGCTCTAGTTCTCGGTAGTGATCCAGCTAGAAGATTGGTAAGGTGTGTTGACCTCATTTCTGGTTTCTGGATGAGGTCTCTTTTTTGTCTCTCCTTAGAAGCCTAGGGTCTAGCTTTATGCTTCCCCTGTTCGACTCTCTTAGAAGACTAGTACGGAACCCACACCATTTAGAAAATTCGAGTCACCTCGCACTCCTTCAAGTTTCGCATGCGGTCCCGAATCCTCGACGTTCTGTTAAGTTGATTAAGACCGACACATGAAACTCGAGTCGAAATCCTACATTAATAGGAGCAGCCCCTATGGAACCCTTTTGTAACCCGAACGCTCGATAACGCCGTATTTTGCGTATTCATTGCGCCACACACAACTTTGACTTGATTTAACTCGTCCGCGCGACAAACTCGCCCGTACGACCCCGGATGACGAAACAGACCGCGCCGACGCGTCCGGAACGTCGATTTTAGCTGGAAATGACACTCATATTGTTGTGGTTCCACAGTCGCGCGAACTGCACGAATATCGATGCACCTTTTTTTTAAGTTGTGCGCGGGCCCGGGCTCAACTCAGGTCCAACTCGGGTTTGATTCAGGTTGGACTCGGGCTGAACACGAGCTAGGCACTAGCTCACCTGGATTTGAAATTCAAATGGATTATTTAACTTTTGTCTTAATTAAAATTATCCAGGTGTTAATTATTTCCAATTAATCTCTCCTGCATCTGGAAACTATTTATTTCTCCGCCAATTGATTTGAGTAACGGCTCTCGACCCCGCTCCAATTCAAAAAGGAAGGGATCGCTCCTTCCTACGGGGTCGACTTCCTCTGCCTGCCCGGAGCTCTTCTCTTCCGTTGGCATTCCGCTCAATTTTTCCATTACGGTTGCTGCAATCACGAAGCTCGCCTCCTCCCTGCCCCGAAGATCCCTGCTCGTACTCCCCCCCAGAGGGAGCCGCTCGATCCCGCTTCCCCCTCGAGTGCCCGCCTCCCGCACGATCGTCCGCTCCTCCCTCTCGAACGCGACAGAAAGCCGCTCGATTCGTCTCCGTCACCGAAGCCCTAGCTCCTATTCTGCAAACGAATCCGCCGCTCCTCCTTGAAGCACCTCTCTGCAACTCCCTCGCTGGTCTCCTCGCGCTCGGGATTCATTGGTTCCTCCTCCTCGTTCGACTGAGGCTGCTCGTATCCTCCTCCTCACACAGCTACAACTCCTTTCGATTTGTCAGGTATTTTATTTATTTCTTTCTTAAAGGCTTCTTGATCTTATTAAAATTTAGTAATGTGTTTATGTGATGGAATTGTGAAGTTTTCCAGTGGGATGTTTTTCTTGACTTTGGTGACTTTGGTGGGATTCAGATTCCTCTAGATGGATGGGATTAAGGGAAGCATAAGGTTATTAGAGATGTGAATGATGTTTGATTTCATTTACATTTCTTGATCATGGATGTTCTTGATCTTTAAAATTGAATTTCATGCGAAACTTTATCTGTAAAATCGAATTCCTTGCGAAACACAGATTACTTGCTCCATTACTTTTAAAGAAACTTCTCGATAAAAAAAAAAAAAATGTCTTCCACCCTCTTTATCTCCTTATTTCATTCATAGAAATCAAGATTGACGTTTTGCCATCCACTTGGAAACTTGCATAATGGAAATTGCCTATACTCGATTTTATTTAATTTTCAACGTTATCATTAGTAATTGTTGGTGTTATCCTTAACAGTGATTGACTTCTTTAAACTGATCTAATGCCTCATAGCTTGACGGAATTATTTTCAGCTATTTAAAATATATATTAGCTGTTTTTGAGGTGATTTAGAACACATGTTTTGAGGTGATTTGGAGGATTTTTCGCTGCAGTTTTTGGGGAGTCTTTTAATGTACCGTTTCGGGATGGTTTATCATTGTTTTGGAGGATGTTGTGTTCCATTTAAATGTCGTTTGAGATTTCCAATCACTGCAGGAGTGCTGCGAGGTGCTGAATTTAATGATTTGGAGTGCCATAAGTGTTGTAGGAGTGCTGCGAGGTGCTGAAATTGATAGTTTCTGTGCCATAAGTGCGGTAGGAGTGCTGCGAGGTGCTGAATTTAATGATTTGGAGTGTCATAAGTGCTGTAGGAGTGCTGCGAGGTGCTGAAATTGATAGTTTCTGTGCCATAAGTGCTGTATGAGTGCTGCGAGGTGCTGAATTTAATGATTTGGAGTGCTAGTTGTTGCCCAGTGTCGTAGGAGCGTTGTTGGAGCCTTAGGAGTGTTGTTGGAAGCTTAGAAAAGCCTTGGGAGTGTCCTAGAAAGCCCTAGGAGTGTTGTTGGAAGCTTAAAAAGCCTTGGAAGTGCTGTTTGGGCTTTAGATTTGTCGTTTGGGAGCTGTTTGAGATGAAAGACTGCTGCCCATTGCTAATTAAGGGTGTTAGGGGTGTTTGGAAGTTGTAGAGGGTCGTAGGATCGTTGTACAAGCCTGCTAGTTGCTGCCCCGAGCTATAAGAGCTGTAGGACTGTTGTCCAGTGCTTCTATTTGCTGCCAAATTTCGTAGAAAACTACCTAGTAGCTGTCCATCACCAATTTGGGTTCGTAGGAAGCCACCTAGTAGCTGTCCATCTAATTGTTGTTCACCTCTGTTCGGGTTCGTAGGAAACCACATAGGTGTTGCCCATTGTTGTTTGGGTTCATAGGAACTCATACAGGCGTCATTCGAAATTCCTAGCTGTTGTCCGGAATCGTGGGATCACCGTACACATTTGTTAGTTATTTGCTGAAGCTGTAGAAGGTCGTAGGATCACCATACTAGCTCGCTAGTTGCAGTAAGGAGTTGTAGGAGACCTTAGGATCACCCCTTTTGGGAATATCTAATTGTTACTACAACTTGTTCTACTGTTTATTTTTTTTCTTTTCTTTGCAATTTATTTAAAATCCCTGCAAATTATATTGTGCTTTGTGAGTTAAACATGCAACAGGAATAGCAGCAGCAGATACGTCATGTATGCAAGTACATTTTATTTGTTGTTGTTTCTTTCTTTTATTGCAATTACTCTTGCTCTAACATATTATGCAGGTACTGAATATGATCTCACTTTCAAAACAAAACTTTTTTTTTTTAAATTAAACAACATTTTCAAAACAAAACAAAAAAAACATAATACGTTCTTTCGAACTTACGGGAGTCGAGCGAGGTAACCCACGGTTGAGGTAACCCACGGTTGTTAACGAGATCAAACTGAGACATTGAAACACACCTGGTAAAACTGTTTGAACTTTAGACTTTAGGACTGTTACTGCGACGAGGAGCTCGGAGAAACTTCGCGGGCAGCACGGCAAGGAGTGGGGGGGTGGGCGCCATTCTACAACAACAAAACGAGTCTACACAAACTGAAATTTCCTAGTTTAAACAACCCATAGGATTTCGAGGTAGTTCGCCTAGCGCGACGTAATTCCTCTCTCTTTTAGGCTCCTGCACAGTTATGTTGTGCAACGTAAGTCCTAACTCGCCTTAGGTTCCGAGGTTGTCATCTAGAATGACGTATCTAGTCTTATCTTTGCGGGTTATTTGCATAACCAGTTATTATGCAAATGTAAATCTATTTGCATAACCAGT